TTATAACGTGAACTACCAGGCCTGGCTTATTGACTGAGATGAGACATCACTCTTTTTGCCAGGACTGGCTTCAAACCACAGTCCCTCTGATATCTGCCTCCCAAGTCACTGGTATTACAAGTTAGAACCGCTGCATCTGTCCATAATTTTATATCTTTTAGAGATGCTGAAAGAAAAAAGGCATTTATTTCAAAAGCAATTATATATTTATAAGACTTCTTATTTAACACTTCTAGTTCTGTTCCTTTGTTTTTATAGATTTGAATTAGCATCTGGTATCATTGTCTTATCTGATACAGCTTCTCTCCTACCCATCTTCTTCATACTTGATTAGCAAATTTGTTATATTTGAATATGTTAGAGGTTCAACAATACATTTCTATATATTGTTTCATATAATTGCCTTAAAATATGGTTTTAAATTTCACCTTCAATGAGTGGCCTTCAGAAATTAAAGTCATACTTTGGTTGGTCAAATCAGATCTATGAGGAGGAGATCTAGACCTTTTATTCAAAGCACTACATATGTGGCAGTAGAGTCATAGATTGCATTTGCTTGTTTAACAGCCAAGTCTTAGATTTTTTTTGTGCCAATATAACAAAAATACCTGAGACTGAGTTAGTTACAAAGGAAAAAAATGTTTATTTTGGCTTAAAGTTCTGGAGTTGAGAAAGTCCAGGAGCATGACACCAGCATCTGCTTTGTTTTTGGTGAGGGCTTCATGGTAGAAAGCAGAAGGGTGCATCTGGGGGAAGATCATGTGGTTAGAGAAGAAGCAAGAGAGTGAGATGAGGAAGACAAATTGGATTTATAATCACTTGGTCTCATGGTAACTAATCCAGTCCTAAGAGACATAATTCACTACTACAAGACCAAGATGGGCATAATCCCTTCTACAGGTGGTGCCCCCATTACATGTTCACCTCCCTTAAGGGTTCACTTCATACAGCTCCTACAACCTCTCAATGATGCTACTTTGGGGACCAAGCTTCTAGCATATGAACCTTTGGGGGACAAAGCATATCAAACCATACCACATACATTTCCTGATGGACTGAAAACTAAAATTCATGCCTTTTTGTTAGATGATATTAAGCCACAGATCAGCAAGTTCTAAACTTTTATAACTTTGTTTTTATTTTTGTAAGCTTAAATTTACTGAATGTCATTGCAACAAGACCCAATCTATCTGGTCCAATCATATAATATATTCACCTATATTCAGGTTTCATATTTCTACATATTTGGTAAGCATTCATGCTAGATCTTCCTTTGAGCTACAGATGAAAATATTCTTCAAGCATGGATGAAAAGGAAGGCCTAAAGTCACACTAACCACTCTATCTGATAAAGGTTTATTAGATAATGCTGAACCTAAAATAAAAATCTGACAAAGATATTCTTAACATTTTCCAATAAAGCCTGTATGCAAACCTCATACCTATGGTTTCAAAAATGATAAACAGAACATTGCCAGATAATCATTAGGATAGATACTTAAAAGGAATTTGATAAAAATTTGATAGCTATCACAAAAACACTGTCCACTTTCACTTTAAACATTAGACACCAGAGTTATTCCAATAAAGATCATGAACATAGCAGAACACTTCACTTCCTATAGCTATTATTCAGTACTGACATGGGTGTTCTAGAAAACATAGGATAAGGAATATATTTATGTTAGAAAGAAGGATAAAACATGTTATGGGATGATTAAATTTCTAGATAATATAATTTTCTATTTGTAAAACCCCAGAGAAGCAAAGTAAAAATAATTAGAACTAAGAAGAGTTCAATAAAATTAGTTTAAAAATAAATATAAAAAGTTACAGATGAGAGCACACAACTGAATTTTTTTTACTACCAAGCAGATAAAATTTTTGATTAGAGGTCCTAGTCAAAAGATTCATGAATGTAATTAATTAATTGAATAATTATCTCTTTGAACTGGCAAATAAAACATATATGTTTTCATTTATAACATATTGTGAAGAATGTATACATTGTGGAATGACTAAATATAGCTAATCTGCCTACAAATTATCCTCTCTCCCATACTTACTTTTTTTTGGTGATAACATTTGAAATATATTTTCCTTGCAATTTTTAAGAATGTAACACATTACTATTAAATATAGTTATCATGCTGCACAGTAGATGTCCTGAACTTATTTCTCCTAACTAAAACTTCATATCCTTTGACCAATATCTCCCTTGCCCCAAATCCTTGTAACCAACATTTTGCTCTCTACTTTTTTTGAATTATTCTTTCTTAGATTTCACATAATTATCCCTCAATGTCTTTGGGGGATTGGTTCCAGGGCCCCCATCGATACCAAAATCTGCCTGCTCAAGTCTCTGATATATCCTCTGATATATATATATATATATAAAGTACACAGGAGGATATGCAGAGACATAATATATCATATATATATATATATATAAAGTACACAGGACACATATATATATATATGATATATTATGTCTCTGCATATCCTCCTGTGTCCTTTAGTTCACCTCTAGATTACTTATAACACCTAATGCTATTCAAATGCTATGCATATATTTGATATACTGTATTGTCTGGAAACAATGACAAGAAAAATGTCTGTGAAAATTAGTTCAGAAACAATTTTTGAGTATTTTTGATCAGTGATTGGTTGACCCCATGGACATGGAACCCAAGGATAGGAAGGGCTGGGTGGATAAGTGAGATCATGTGGTATTTAACTTTCTGTGCCTGGCTTAGTTCACTCAACAAAATGTCCTCCAGATTCATCTGTTTGTCACAAATGAAAAGATTTTCTTTCTCTTTAAATAGTATTCCATTGTGTATATATACATTTTCTTTATTTATTCATCCAGGATGAATAGCAGAATGTTTAGCTATTTTAACTAATATTGCAGTGAACACAGGAGTGATATGTTGATTTCATTTCCTTTGAATATATATCCAGTAGTGGGATTGCTGAATCATATGGTAGTTTTATTTTTAATATTTTAAGGAACCTCCAATACTTTAAATATTTTTCATAATGGCTGTACTAATTTACATTTCCATCAACAATGTGCAAGTATTCCCTTTTCTCTACTTCCTTTACCACACTTGTTCTGTTTCATCTTTTTTCATTTGTTTTTTGGTGTTCCTGGGCCCAATAGCCATAAAATGAAGGAATGAAAATTAGTGATGAAAGGAAAAGAAATTTTATTAATTCAGGATTTTAATGCTCATTTGGTCATCTTATCCAAAAGGCAAGAACCTTTAGTCTTCATCTTTGGGGTATCCTAAATGTTTTCTAACAAATCCCAGTTTATTTGAACAAGAATGCAAATAGCGTTAGGGAGGCATATGGTGGGACAGCTCTCACTAGATGAGTGCTGTTCACTTATTCTTGACACAGATGAAACCCTTTGAAAATAGACAACAGTGGAAGTTTAAATAGAGAAGTAGGAAAAAAGAAAGCCAAAAGACCCGAGAAGTATGTGAGGAGTTTTTGTGAAATGTTTCCATGCTGATTCTTTGTAGGAGCTTTCCCTTTTACTCACAACTTAATCTGTGACCACACTGACTGTCCTAATACAGCCCAGAATTCCTAAACCTGGTATAATTGCAGGCTTGAATGCAACTCTAAAATCAAGGGGCCTTCCAAAGGTTAGGTACACCTCTCCAGGTGTAGTTCAACTGTAATGGAAAAGTGGAAAGAATAACGTTACACCCCAGAGCAGTTAGCTTGGCTAGCAGCATTAAATTAAGATAATAGAGCTCAAATCCTATTCTCTGGCACTGAAGCAGATAATTTGTTTTGGTTTTGAAATTGGGTGAAAAACAGCTTCAGTGTTTTTATGGGCTTGTTTCACATCCTAGTAAGGTCTTGTAATGACATCTACATTTGTGACTACCTAATGGGCTGGCATGTTTCTTGCTTTAATTTTTCCCGAGACTTAGCTCCTCAATTCATAAAGGGAAACTAGTCAGGGTGGAGTTGCCATTTACATTGACTTATGTCACTTCCTGTTATTTCTAGTTCCCTGGAGGGGATAGGGAATGGGTTTGTGATGTTCAGGGGAAGTAACTGGTACTCAGTTGAATACTGGAGTTACTAGTTCCACATTTGGTTTTAAGAAGAGAATGCTGGAGCTATCACTCTCCCCACCTTTTGAATCAACAATTAAATATCAGAGAAATATTCAAACATATACAAAGTTGAAAGAATTGTGTAATTAACCTTCATGTACTATCATCCAGGCTCAATAATTATCAATACTTTTCTGCAATTTCCTGTTTAGAAAATACAGTATCTGTGAGTTTCAATTCTTTGATCTCTGTTTAGCTTTTGCCTTTCAAATTTTGGTTCTTAGGGCTTTGAAGTCTGCAACTGTGTTAAAGGAAGGATTTGAGCGAGGTATTTAATGCTTAATGGTTAATTAAATCAGTATTTTTTAGCTCACTTGTCTTTCAGGGAAAGAGAGTGGTGGTAGGGTATTAGGAGGAATTTGAAGGTATATGTCTGGGTTAGAGCTCTTTTTCATAGAACTGATCACTGTTCTGATTTCCATGCAGAAGACCGGATTAAAAATGAAGTTGGGGAAAAAATATGAGCATGTACCTGCCCTATTGCTGTTTTCTAAATATTACAGAGGATGAAATTAGAGTAGTTTACTTGTCACACTCTTAAGAGTGTATCAGTGGTTTTTCCCTGCACATGTTTACACGTTCTTTTTGGGGATGAGTTGCCAAGTCTTTTGAGTTTCTGGTTCTTCGTATTGACTGGTTTATCATCTCCTATTTCACCCAGAGTGTCCAGGGCTGGTCTCAAAGCATCCCCACTAGGACCTCCGGGAGAAGGAGAAACTGCCATCCCACAGAAAAGCCGAGCGTAGTTTCATAAACCTTGCACTCGCTGGGTGCGCTGCATCAAAAAGCCTGAGTCTGGAGGAAATTTAAAAGCGGATATCATTTCCCAAGGAGCCCCTCTTGTTGTTTGTTTTGAAGTCTTGGAGGCTCCAGGGACTTAAAAGAGTGCGGGAGCGAGTTCAGACCGCAGCAGAGTGGCTGGGAATGCACCGCAGCTCTTAGTTGGGGTGAGTGGGAGGGAGGACTCTTGTTTTCCTTAAACCTAGAAGGCGTGGTCGGTCACGTTCGCAGTTCCACTTCTCACTGCCTCGCCCTGCGTTTCTACGCGGAGTTCCGCCCTCTCAGCGTCAATGTATGGGATCAATGGGTCTCAGCGCCCGGGTCTCCACGTACATCTCTCCAACAGTGGGCGGTGGGGGGGGGGCGGGGTGCAGCCGGGCTCAACCCCAGTCACCAGCAGTCTTCTGGAAGAGACTTGGAGGTCTCTTGGGCAGTCTCCGGGCGTAGACCTGGGAAACGCCCATTGAGAGCAGACGTGTTAGTTTCACCGAGCATCTTCTTGGTTCCGCCCTGCGCGCGCTGCGGGCGCTGGGGCGAGATCCCAGAGGGCGGGGAGTGGAGAGGGCGCTTCCCCGGCCAGGGCAGTTTACCTCGTGTCTGCACCCCTAGGCGGCGCTGCGCCCCTCCGCACCCGGCCTGCTGCACTTTCCCAGACGGCTCCTGAGCCTGGAGTCTAGCAAGCTCGCAGCCCGCCAGCCCGAAGTAATTCCCTTTTCCTGGAGGCGAACGTCGGCGCTCGCTGCACTTCCAGCTCACAGTCGCAGCGGCCGGCGGAGCTTCTCTCCACCGTGGCTCGAGCTGTCCGGGAGTCCGGAGCATGGTCCCAGGTTACCACTGGTGGAGCGTGGACGCCAAAAAAGAGGATGGTGGGCTGGGGGGTGACGGTTCTGTGTTTGTGGGTCTCCTGTGGCGCTGCTGCTGGACAGCTGGAATACTCAGTGTTGGAGGAGACTGAACGGGGCGTAGCAATAGGCAATATCGCAGCGGACTTGAAGCTGTCAGCGGCTGATCTGCCTTTGAGGAACTTTCGCTTCCTTTCCAGCTACAGCGAGCCTTACTTCGGGGTGGACCCGCGCAGCGGTAGCTTGGTGGTCCGAGAGCCAGCTGACCGAGAGCGACTGTGCTGGACCAAAGTTGCCTGCGTTTTGACCTATGAGCTAATGTTCGAGGACCCGCTGGAGCTGCACAAGATGCGTGTTCACGTCCTGGACATCAATGACAACTCACCTCTCTTCCCTGCCGGCGATGTGCAGCTGCACATCCCGGAATTCTTGACACCTGGAGCCCGCTTTACTCTCCCTAATGCCCAAGACGCTGACGAGGGAAGGAACGGGGTGCTAAGCTACAGCCTAAGCCCCAACCAGCACTTTCGCCTGGACATGGGGTTGCGGCTGGACGGCAGCAAATACCCAGAGCTGGTGCTGGAGAAAGCGCTGGATCGAGAGCAACGGGTCACTCACCTACTGGTGCTCACGGCTCAGGATGGTGGGCTGCCTGCGCGCTCCGGAGACACAAGGGTCACTATCATCGTGGTGGACACAAACGACAATGCACCTGTATTTGAGCACTCGGTGTACCGCACCAGGGTTTCAGAGAATGCACCCAATGGGACTGTGTTATTTCAAGTTCAGGCTTCGGATCCGGATGAAGGCTCCAATGGGGAAGTCTGGTACTCCTTAAGCAATAGCACACTAGCAGAGCTGAGACACCTCTTTCACGTGCATCCTAAAAGTGGGGAGGTACAGGTAGCTGCTTCACTAGGTCCGCCTGAAACACTGCTGGAGGCATACATCGAGGCAAGAGACAAAGGTGTCTTCAGTCTGGCTAGCACCGCCAAACTACTGGTAGAGGTGACTGATGTGAACGATCATGCTCCAGAGATGGACTTCATGACTCTCTCCAGCCCAGTACCTGAGGACGCTCCTCCTGGCACAGTGATTGCCCTCCTCAGTGTAAAGGATGAGGACATTGGTCCCAATGGGAGGGTCATTTGTAGCATGTCCAGCAGTGGCCCTTTTCAGCTGAAAGCTTCCTTTGACAACTATTACAGCCTGTTGACTGATGGGCCCTTGGATCGGGAGCAAACAAGTGAACACCAGGTCCTGATCACTGCTTCAGATGGTGGCTCGCCCCCACACAGCACCCAAAGGACACTTACTGTGTCAATTGCTGATGTGAATGATAATACACCTAGCTTTCCTCAACCACATCAAGAACTTTTTGTGGCTGAAAACAATGGCCCTGGAGCCTCTTTAGGCCGTGTTTTTGCTCACGATCCAGACCTGGGGATGAATGGCCTTGTCTTTTATGAGCTGTTGGATATTATTTCTGAAGGGCTGCCAGCTTCTAACTTGGTGGCAGTGGAACCATCCAGTGGGGCTATCACTGCCAAAATTTCCTTCGACTTTGAGCAGCACAGGGGGTTTCACTTCCAAGTGGAAGGCCGGGATGGTGGCATTCCTTCCAGAAGTGCAACTGTGACCATAAACTTATTTGTGATAGACAGGAATGACAATGCTCCAGTCATCTTATTTCCCTTGCCCAGAAATGGCTCCATCCCAGTGGAAATTGTACCCTACTCTGCCAGAGCCGGACACTTGGTCACAAAAGTAGTAGCAGAGGATGCAGACAGTGGTTCCAATGCTTGGCTCTCCTACCACATCTCTCAGGCTTCTGACTCGAGCCTTTTCAGAATTTCAGCCAACATGGGAGAGCTGCGTACTGCACGTTTAGTCCTTCCCACTGATGCACTTAAGCAGAGGGTGGTGGTAGTGGTTCAGGACCATGGAGACCCACCACTTTCCTCCTCTGTCATTCTGGGTGTGCTGTTGAGCAACTCTGCCCCTCAGGTCCTTCCAGACTTTGAAGATATCTGGGAACCAGGAGGGCAGCTTTCTGCCAGAAACTTGTATTTAGTAATTGCCCTGGCCTGCATTTCCTTTTTATTTCTGGGGTGTTTACTTTTATTTGTGTGTATCAAATTGATTCAGAGCCCAGCTTGTCACTCTCAGAGCTGCTGTCACTCTTTAGAGGATCTGAGGCAAGGAAGGATGACTTCTAATCCTTGCATGACATCAGCCACAATAGATGTCACCACAATTGAGAGACTTTCTCAGACATATCTCTATCGGGCTTCTCTTGGACTTGGTTCTGGTAATAACAGTTTGATCTTGCATGGGGAATACAGTGCTGCTGACCTGAGAAATCTGGCCACTGGTGTAGGATTGAATTTGCCAATATCCTGTCTTCAGATTCGGAACAGGAAAGGGGATCATGCAAATGTCAATGCCATGGTAAGTGAAGTCTATCAAATTTGATTCCTCTGACCAGGATATAGCTGCTAACTGTGTTCTGAACTATTTCTTAGATGAGACTTTGGTAACATTTAATCAATTGTATTGAACTCTTCTTATTATACTCTGTGCCAAGGATTCTTGGAGTATGAAAGTATTAGAATACTGTGCCAGGCCTCCAGGAGCTTATAGTCTAGTTTTGAGAAACAAGGGCAAACGTTAAAGCCATAATAAAACTAATATAGCATGGAGGTATAAAACTTAAAAATAATGAAGTGCTAAAATGTTTTGTGGACAACAGAATATGTATAAAGCACTCTGATCCCTAAAATAAAGAAGGGAGACTATACGAGTCTGCATACCATAAGCAAACACGGAAAAGGAGACATTTATTCAAGCTATTGCACTATATTATGATAAAATGATGATAACCACAAGAGATATAAAAGTTAATTGCAGTGGATGACCAAAGAAAAGAGAGAGAAAACACGAGAGAAGGGAGGAGGGAAACAGAGAAGGCTTTGTGATGGAGGTGACATTTGATTTGAATCTTGAGTGATATACCATTTAATAAGATGTGGCATATTCTGTAGCCTATACTAATTATAACAAATATAATGACAAAATAATCTTTTTGAGAAAGACACTCCAAAACATAGTTAATGTCTCTATAGCAGTATTCTGTAAGTACATAGAAATTGTAAGCATGTCTCATGCCTATTTATATTAATATAAAGAAGATAAAGATAATAAAATAATATTGGGTATAGGACTTGACAACCTTTTATATTGTGTTTTAAATATCTTTCACAGAGAAGAAAGATGAGCAGTCTTTATGTCAGGAACATTCGGGTGTTCAGGGATATACTTACTACCCAATGTCCCTTTTAACTTGAATTTAATTTTCTTAATTTAGAAGTCAAACATATTTAGCAAATAAATAAATACCACATTTGAGAGTAGTGTATCTAATGAAAGTGGTTCAAATACTTCATTTAGTGAGTCTTGACATTTTAAAACTTTTTGAATGGTGTCAAAACAACTTTTTTTGTGGTACTGAGGTTTGAAGTCAGGGCCTACACCTTAAGCCACTTCACCAGTCCTTTTTTGAGATGGGTTTTTTAAAGATAGGTTCTCGTGAACTATTTGCCCAGGCCGGCTTTGAACTTGATCCTCCTGATCTCTTGCCTCCTGAGTAGGATTACAGGCTTGAACCACATTTCATCATGCTTTCTTGTATCCATGATTTCTGTGAGAAGTCAGAAAGTAATCATGTAGGATTGTAACTGCAAAAGATGTTGCCCTGCCAGGTGCCTGTGGCTCATTCCTGTAATCCTAGCTACTCAGGAGGCAGAGATCGAAGTTTGAAGCCAGCCTGGGCAAATAGTTCGTGAGACCCATCTCGAAAAAGCCCATCACAAAAAATGGCTGGTGGAGTGGCTCAAGGTGTAGGCCCTGAATTCAGGCCCCTATGCTTGGGGGAGGTGGGGGGGAAAGAAGCATGATGCAGAGAAAAAGGGAAGGAAAATGAAGCATCCCTTGTTTTACTTTTCTAGACAATAAGAAGCAAAGGAGACTATGAGTTATTCTCCCTCACATAGTGATGTTAATTGAAAACATAATGGATTATATCCATCATAATTTTGGATAACTAATATTTTCACATGATGTAATAGAACCTAATGTATAAGATATGTAAGATATGCTTACTGAATGAATAAATAGGCACTCTATGAACTGGGTGGTAACACTTCAACTCACAGAGAAAAAACTTTAGCTTTCTTTTTTACTTCACATGTGTATGTATGGTTAAGAGTTTAATGGTTATTTTCAAATATGATGTTCCAATGATTACTTTCTTCTTCGTGGCATATACTAATGAAACAGCATAGCAGAGGGATTTTCTGGTCCTAGAATTAGCGTGAAAAACCTCAATGCTGTATTCTGGGACTAAGCATGACAAAGGGATTAATAGGACTTCATATCATTACATTGTGAATGCTACTTTCAAGATCTCAGTTAATTTTATGAGTGAAAATTGGTTCACTCCAATGTTAACATTTCAAGTACAGAGCACTTTATATATATATATTTCATATATATATATATTTCATATATATATATATGTACTTTCCACATCAATAAAATTCACCATTTATTTATTTAATTTTGTAACTGTCTGTAACAAAGAGAGTTGAGAATACCACTGCTGGCTGGTGTTCTCAGTGAGAGAATACCAGGGAAGTTTGGAAGTCAGGAATTGTTTGAGAAACATATTTTGACAAGGAGAAGGAAACATAAGTAAGTCATAGGAAAGTCAACGACTCTGGAAGTTAGAAGGAAAATTAGCTATTTAAAAGGAAAAATGTGGCGAATGCTGGAGAAGAATGCCCTTCCTCCATCACATTTTTAAACATACATGAGTAGTGAACAAAGTAGCAGAGATACATTTCATTCCTCCAGGTGAGCAACTTTTCTTTATCATTGTTGATATTTTACTTTTTAGGTAGTGCATTTGCTTGTTACTTTTTATGGGGTGGCTATTTTCTTTTAAAAAAAGAATGATTAAAAACATGAATAAGGCTGGCAGAGTGGCTCAAGTGGTAGAACGCCTGCCTGTTAAGCACTAAACCCTGTGTTCAAACCCAAGTGCTGCAAAAAACAAACAAACAAACAAACAAAAAATCCCAAACACAAGTAACTTCTATACAGCAATGCTATTTGTAGTTCACACAGACACTTATTATTTACTACTTTTTTTTCAATTGCATATTGATCCAATCATGATTCTTTAGCAAAGAATGTATGAAATAGACTGAATGTGTTGATAACAGAAGTCAAGAAATAAAATATTTATTGCTTGAATTTTTTGAAAAGCATGAAATTTAACAATGACTATTTATGTCTGTCATGTATGTCTAATGATTATGTATGTCATGCTGATACATGTTTGTATTTTGCTCAAATTCTAAGTTCTTTTCTCATTTTACTTTTGTATACTATAAAAGTATATGGTTAAGAAAAGTATACATTAATATAGTTTATAATGCTAAAAATCATCAGCTTAAGAAATTCAGGAAAACATGGTTTTTATATGTTCTTTCTCATATTGATCCACTGTGCAACAAATGGACAACATATGTTCATGTCATTTTTTTTCTTGATGGGGCAATTTAATTTTTTAGATTGGTTTCTAAGATGCTACTTCTGATATATAAAATTCTACTTGCCATTTAAAATTGGTTGCTCTAGCAAAATTTTAAGATATGTATTAATGTAGTAAAATGCATAAAAACTTAGCATGCAACTGGCCTTATTACATATTCCATATGAAAATTATTGTTTGAACATGCCAATGCTATATTAATGTATTGTTCCAGAATTAAACCAGTTTCTTTTTTCCAGGCTATATGGGATATTTACCCTTTGCAATAATGTCATTTATTAACAGGATAGTAAAGTATTTTGACATTCAAAGTATTTTTATTTGTTAACACATATTTTATAAGTAGACTTTCCCAATATCCAATTACCTTATATCTATTTTAACTCATCAGGTAATTAGATCTTTTCTTACATCTGTGCTAACTTTGAGGCTGATGACCACACTTTTAAAAATCTTTACAGCACTATAACTAAGGAAGCTGTTTAAAACACCCTCATTTATACAATATAATAATATTTGTTGTATAATAGGGAACCTCAAGTAAGTAAAAACAGGAAAGAAAAATAGATTTATAATTTGAGTGGACAGAAGAGGAAGACAATAAATAGGAAACATATGAGTGGGAAGGTATTGACAATATGTCTGAGGCCTATTGATTTTTGTTGTCTTCAATATTTTCAGTCAGAGGGAAACTGTACTATTATTGAGAATAAATTCACTTAGCTGGTTTGGAATGAAGGTGGACTACATTGCTAAAAGTTTTTTACATTGCTCAAATGCATATCTTATGAATATCAGGAACAATAACATTTGACAAAATATCAAATGAAAATGGAGTGCAGCCTCAGCTACTGACTAAGGTATTATGGGATGTAAGGAATTTGTTGGTAAGAGAAATTCTTAAAAAAACCAAGCTAAATGATAAAGATAACTACTCACTTTGTTCTCAATTTTAATTGATGGAATAAAAGAATGGTTCATGATATATACATTATATCTCTTTATTACATTTAGTAAAATGAATTAGGATAATAATTTCCTCTTCAAAGTATAAACTCGAAGGTCATTATACATTCATCTGGAACTTGTTTTGGAATCTACGAATGAATATACAATCATATACTCTGTGCTGCAGCGAAAGAGAAAAGCCTTCTTTCCATCCCATCCTAAATTCTTGTCTTTTCCTAGAGCCATCTGATTGCCATCTACATATGTTCTGTTTTCACAGTGGAACTCTAATGCATACCCTCAGAAGTGTAATCTCTGGATCCAGCACATTGTGGTTATTCTTTCAAATCTGTAAGCAAAGACTGCAGCTGTTTTGTTTAGACTCGAAATAACATTCACACCAATAAAAACAACCAATTAAGATGACTTAATAGTGGGTTTTATATCTGTGTTCACCAGTCAAGGTTTGTTTGTCATTTCCTTTTCTTATCAGGGTTTGATATCAAGGTTATGCTGATCCTATCAAACAAGTAAGAAGTTCTCTCTTTCTATTTCTAGCTCCTTTTTTCTATTCTCTGCTAGTATTTGTTAGATTGGTGATATAGCTTCCTTAAATATTTGGTAGAAATCACTAGTGAAGCTCTCTGTGCCTAAAATTTCCTTTGTGGGAAAATTTAAATTTCTTTATTAGTAATAGAATTATTCATATTTTTATTTTTCATGTTTCAGTTCTGTAAGTTAATTTTTTTCAGAAGTATTTAATTTCAAATAAATTTTCAACTGTTTTGGCATAAAATTGTTTATAATGTCCTCTTGTGATTTTGTTTACATCTCCAGGATCTGTAGTGACAGTCCCATTTTCAATACTGGCATGGGTTATTGTCACCTTTTACTTTTTATGCCTGGACTCAGAAGTAGTTTAATTTATTTTTTATTAAAAATTTAAAATTATTATGTTATTGTTTACTGGGGGTACATTGTGACATTTGCAAAAATGCTTACAATATATCATAGTTGAATTCACCCTCTCCATCATTCTTCTTTATCTTTCCTTTCCCCCATT